TTAATATCCCATACGCTCCAGACTTGGCTCATTCGTTATTTCATGCTCCAGACTTGGTCACTACTTTCTGTTTCCTAAAGTGAAACTTCTGTGAAATGTCATGATTCTGAGAGCATTTCAGCAATTCAGGAAACCGTAAAGATGAGATGAAAGTATATTTCTAGAGCTGAATAACGAAGCAATTCAGAAACCTCTATGCCAAGATTGTGTATAGCAATAAAAAGAATGTATGTAGTAGTTTAAATAGTGGTTGTTAAAATTAAGAACTAAAATTTTAAAATAAAAAGAACTTTTTCTTTCAAAGGCTTTTATAAAATTTAATACTAAAGAGTATTTAATAGTAAAGAAATTTAATACTAAAGAGTAGACTAAAGAGTACACTTTTATAAAATTTTAATACTAAAGAGTAGACTAAAGAGTATACTTTTATAAAATTGAATACTAAAGTATGCTTTTATAAAATTTAATACTAAAGAGTATACTTTTATAAAATTTAATACTAAAGATTATCCTTTTATAAAATTTAAACTAATATACTTTATAAAATTAATACTAAAGAGTATACTTTTATAAACTTTCAATATACTATAAAGAGTAAGACTAAAGAGTTTTTTATAACATTTAATACTAAAGAGTAGACTAAAGAGTATACTTTTATAACATTTAATACTAAAGAGTAGACTAAAGAGTATACTTTTATAAAATTTAATACTAAAGAGACTTACTTTCTTTTTCTTTCCTTTTTTCCGCCAGCTGGACAACCGGTTCGGCTAGGAAAGGTGCTTGTCGACCTGTTTAAGTCCCGATGATGACTATAGTTATTTTTTAGAACCTGAGATCAAGCTTCCCAAAGTCTGTCTTTATAAGGGAAAGCGAGTGAATGAATTAAAAAAAATTGCAAGGGGATTTATAAAGGGAGTATAAGGGCTATAAACGCCCTATAGAGAACTATAACGGCTGTAGATGTACTGTGTAAAAGTAAAAGTAAAATTATTTATTATATATTAAGTAGGTATTTTAAAAAAAGGATTACTGATTTTTTTTATATATTAGCTATATCTTTTTGTACATTTAAAATAAAAAATAATAATAAAAAAAGAAATTTTAGCTTAAAATAGAAATTAAAAAGTATTAAATAAATCGTTGTACGAAAGCTGAAAAAGTACCATATTTCATATATCGTTCTCAGTATGTAGCAAATTACAGTTTTCTATTTGGAGAGTTTCTAATTTTTGAGAGATATTCGAGCTTCTAATTTACACAGTAAAAAAAAGTCCATAGGTTTTTACAGTAGGAGCTTCGAAAGTTTTAATAACACATAAAAGAGCTGAATATCATATTCACTATAAAAAGATGACATTAAAAGTAAATCGAAGCTCAAAAATTACAAAAGCCAGTTCAAACTACGAATTTCTTTTTTTTTTCGTGTTTCAGTGTTACCCATCGAATAAGAAATTATTATTTCAGAAAGAAAATTGAGACAGTGAATAAGCGAGATTTTATCGATCGGTTTTTACTTGCATGCTCTCGATAAAATTTACTCCATTTTTTTTTTACATGCACTACATGTTTAAGAGACACATTTCAAGTCGGAACAAATTTGGGTTAAAAGTTTTGTTGTTAAGAGCTTGCAGACAAACTTTGTCGAGCAAGAGGTTTATGAAAGGGATCTTATGCTATTTATTTTGCAAGTGGGTTAATGCTACATGCATTTCTTTAACACAGAAGTATATAAAAGATTGATTGTTACTACAGGAGAAGACTCAACTTTCGCGATTAATTTGAAGATTAAGATAACTGGCAAATCAATTAGGATAAGGCAAAGCTATGTGAGGGCTGCGTGTCTAAAGAAAGGGATGCTTTTGTGAATGACTTTCTAAGTGAAACTGGCTCGTATTCGTAATAAACAAGTCGGAGAACCAGGAAGATATCCATGTAGCGAGCCTGATCGACGGGATTAGAACCGCGTTCAACTATCAGTGTTCAGCGATCTCACCCGATCTGCCGCTGGTAGGCCAATTAATGTTAAGCCAAGCAGAATGAAATTATTTTATATAAACACGATTATAAAAATTAATTCACAGCTGCTTCCGTAAATAATAATTTCTGTTAGAAAATGTAGGATCATTAAGAGATTTCCTCCAGTTACGTTTCTGGAATGATGACCTATGGTATGAATCTATCTATATACTTTGAGGTTTGTGAAATCGCAGCCATTTAGCTGTTGTTGGAACGCATTTTAATTTTTAAATCTCTGATGCAGCAATATAATGTTTTTAATTATTTATATCTAAAATTAAAAAAATTAATTAAAGTCATTAGAAGGGTATGAGGAAAAATTTCTAGCGTAAAAAGTAAATTTTAGGTTATTTTTCAGAAGCAACTGCTTACCGATGTGAAATATAAATTAATAATTGATCTGTCATTTTACTGTATTTTGTATAAGTAAACAAAAACCAGTGAAATGTAAGACTGTGTTAGCCCAGTTCCATTGTTTTCAAACAATTATCAAAAATTACTTAGAGAATTGAACAATTCCAGATTGTTTTTGGTCAAACTGCGTTTACTTTATTCATTAGGCTGAAGGTAATATATTCAAACTGGATAATTTTAAGCGGAAATCGTAGAGCTTAAATATCTCTCAAATGGTAGACTGTATGCCTTGGAAACAAATCAAGGTACCATAGGCACCATAAATAGCTATGAAAGTTCAAGGACTGCGAACTAAATAGCGCATCTCTAGACCTATAAAGCCAGACGTCTAGGAGAAATGGTCTCCTTTAGTTCAGTCGAGAACTTTATGTGTCATTAGAAAAGGAAATCTCTAAAACGGGTATTTTTCACAAGACTTAAGAACAGGAGTTCTTTCTAAAGGCTACCAATGCACATGTGAGCCATTTTCTGTTGGTTACATAGAGACGAAACTGTATTTTGAAGTATTTTCTTTTAAGCTAAAGGGAACATCCAGATTCATAAATAACTGTGTGATCAATGTATCCTGCGAAGTGTTTGAAACAGGTACTATAATTGCTCAGCAATTTCAGGCCAAAGTAATATTTACCCTTTATGAATTCTAGCTGTAGACACAGGACGGCTGTAATTTAAATCAGAGGTCGTTAACTATTTTTTGTTCACCCAGAGGTATCCTTTGCAATTGAGTCCCAGTCCCAATAGTACGCTAGCGTATGATTTGGCAAAAACGCGAAAGTTAAGTTACGGCCTTCAGCGCGTATAATTTACCTTCAGAAATAAATGACTCAAGTATTGTATCTCGAAGTACTTGGTATTGGAAACTAAACACTGTTAAACGGCAAAGACAGTTATACAACTTAAACGAGACCATAGGAACAAAAGAAGAAAATGGGCTGTCTTCAAGCAATAGCTTCTAAATTTTTAAGAAACACTTTTTTTAAATAATAAGTAAACAAAAGTCTTGAGATGTTTCTTCGGACTTTTATGGCAGATCTTCTCAAGAACGTGACGTCCGAACTGATTTTAAATCACCTGCTAGTTTTTAAAAGTAGCCATGATAAAATATTTTCCTTCCATCACTTTCATCAAGCATGACGGGAGCAATATTTATTCTGCGTGCTCGGAATCTATCCCCTCTCTGAAGAAATAGGAGTGCTTTCTTTAACTGAAATACGAAGACCAGGAAATTTTTAAACTTTGGACACTTGCGAAAGAAGAGTACCTGGAAGTAAAGCTGGAAGCAATTATTCCTCAAAAACTTAGTGCTTGTGTAAGGCTGAGTTGTTTGGCACTAACGAGCATGAAAGACGAGAAACACTGGAAATTTCTTTTAGTTGAACAAGAAATGCTTGTTTTCATTTCCGCTGCTATTCAATTTTTGAGCAAGAAACGGAAAGCTCAAGTTTCTGATTAATAACTAAAATTTTATTTTAAGTTACTAAATGGTCTATAACGTTATCAAGTTTCATCTCTTTTGAATATTTTTTCATGTTCGGTTTTCAAAGTTAATACTCAGTAGAATCACAATGCTTTGGAAGCGTCGCTGCTCGCCTGTCGACAACCATTGAATTTGATCAACCGGCGATAATGATCCCCTGAACTTTCCCAAATTACCTACTTTTGTTAATATATAAATTAGAAATATGCACTTTACTTATAACAGAAACATATTCATTCAAGATTCCAATAACTCAATAAATAACTAATGAAATTTAAATAAATTCAATGTTATCGAAACAAATGAATCATTCTTCAATATTAAGTTAAGTACATTAAAATTAAAAGCATTGTTTCGCAATATATTTCCAGTATAATTTTGCTAATTCTCTGAGTAAATTTATCAGTGACCTACTATTAAAGTTGTTTGATGACGTCCCAATGAGGATCTGTTAGGGTAAATTAGGGAATAAATTTAGATTTATTTATTAGTTATTATTTTAATTTCATTTAATTCAGGTTACACTGTTTTGTGACTATTTAGGCGTTTAAACTATAGTAGATTTATTTTCGCCACGCATATTTCCAATTTCATCCATGGAGTCTTTAACTGATTTAAGTAAAAACACTGATGGACACATCTACATCATATTTATATCAATATGACGGACATTTTAATTGAAAAATATATTTGAATTCGAAAGAAAAATTATTACGCATGTGTTCTTGTCCGATATTTCAAAAAATAAATTTTGGGTGGTGCTATAAAATTAGTTTTCATGAAAGTAATTGGTTTCCATACTCGCTGATTAACTTAATACAAATGCTTAACTTTAAAACCTGAAGAAGAATTTATTATCTGCAAATACAAACACAAATTTCTAGAACATACGACAATAAATATAATTTCTTTTCTTAGCACAATATAAACTTCAAAATCTGGTAGACAGACACTGATTAATTTTAGATTTTTAACTGTGACAATAAAACATGCCATCTTATTCTGATAAGTACAATAAGAGAAAATTATGTTCTTCGTACTCTTGAACTTGAAGATAACAGGGTGTGTTTTTCTTGAGAAAGGGAAGCCTTGAAGCCTTTTTTACAGATAACATGTTAAAAAAAGGAAAGAAACTGGTCTTGCACACAGAATAGGTCCTCAAGTATGTAAGGAACTGTGTTCATGTGGGCAAGCCTCAGCAAATTCATTGCTTTAGGTCATGAGAAATGCTTATGCCGGTAAGTAAAATTTATGGTTTTTGAAAGGGAGGGAAGAGAACTTTTAATCTATGAATGGCTAGATCAAAATTTAAATACAATTCGCTTCTTTCAGTAGAAAATGGAGGAAATGCTTACATTTAACCATGGGTTGTTATACTGTGTACTTTGTCTGCAGTGAAAAAATCTAAAGATTTTTAATTAACATTTTTCAGATACAATTCCTGTTTGTTATGTTGAAAGACGCAGTTTTTAATCCTGGACGAAGTTAATTCATAGCAGGATTTAATTTTCTCCTTTACTCAGGAAACTATCGCTCATTTTTCATTCTGATTTAAGACATTAAAAGTATTTATGTAAATAATTCCTTTTTGAGCTGGGTAATTTTAATTTTCTAATGGACAAAAGATTATATTCAAGAAGGATAAAACGACATTTCTTGATTCAGATTGATTATAGCCAGGGCAAAAAAAAAATTATTAATTTCGATAGACAAGACATATATAATTTCCTTTCTTAATTCAGGCTGGTTATTCAACACAGAACAAGTTAAATCAGGGGATTCGAGGGTGAATTGGATAATATTAGTTTTGGTTTCACCTGGTGATTACAGTCAAAATAGACAAAATTGTTTTCAATGAATTGAAAAGCATATTTTTTCAATCCCACATATTAATCATCAGTATATTATATATGTAAAATTATCTGCTCTAGAGAAACTCTTTCACTAATATCTGCAAAACTAAGATAGCACCAAATAGTTGTTACATAACAAAATTGCAATGCATGGGAAATTGAAACTTAAATAAAAAAGTTTATTGATGTTAAACTGATTTATCAATTTCTCTTTACTTTCTAGTTTATTAAGTGTTATATGTACCGGTACATTGCTATATACCTAACACATATATATGTAAATAATAATAGCTTCAAAATCCTTTATTAAAAAAATTGGCAAGGTAGAAAATAATGGAAAATTTACATAGAAAATTTGTAGATTAAAAATGAGATTAAAAGAAAGAAAATAAGAAATACTAATTATTTATGTAAATTCAGCTTTAATGCATGATTCCTTTCTTGCTGCAAGCCTCTTTTAAGTAGTACACTATGTGCAAAGCTATAAGTAAATTTCAGACAAATGAAAGCGAGATTGCCATATCAACCCGTCTACTACCGAGATTTATTTACCTGCGATGTCTGTCTTTCATACACTTACCAAAATCTAATAATGTGATTCATTAATGTTTACCCGCATTTATGGTTGAGCTTTATTTTCACCTGACTTTGCATGTTGAGAAATACAGATATCTTTGAAGATTAAAAAAAAAAAACCGAAGGCAGACACGAGTCTGCGAATTGTGCAATTTCAGCTTGCCCAGCTCAGCTATCAGAATGAGTCGTGGAAAACGTAGATGCAGCTGTGAAAGAGCAAACTTTTCGAAGCGAGAAGCAACTCGGGAATCTTAGGCTAATAGACTGTGCTTCTCGAAAGTAATGAATATTATTCATCCAAGAGAAACCGCTATTTTTTTCCTTGCTGCAAATCCGATTAGAATGCTCGTATATGACTAACGTATTTAAATAAGAGAATGGACTTGCTTCTCAGTTAGATGATGGCAGCGGAAAAGACAGTCCAATGAAAAAAATTAAATAGGCTTTTGAAAATTGTTAATTATTCAAAAGAATTAAATAACTAAATGCACCTTTTGTAATAGTTCTTTTCTTTTTATCTTAACTGTTTATTACTGAATTTCCTAATATTGTTAAATGACAGAATTAGCACTAGCTGTTATTTTGCTGTTTATGAACGTCGACTAACCTTTAATCTTTGGAGCCAGATGTTGGAATTGTTACCCCATAAGAATGTTCTTCACGGAAATAACGAATTTTGAACTTCTCTGAATCCATTAATAGTTCTCAGGACAGTCATTGCGATAATCCAAAAAGTGGTGATGAAGAAAACGCTGAAATATGTTTTAGTGGTTTTTGCCCAGGGTTGATAACCTGATTTGGAAGTTTTTGAAAGGAATTCCGATATATCAGTTATAGTATACTAAAATCTCAGGAATGCGAAGCAGGTATCACAGCTTTATTAATGAAAGAGCCTTCTGGAAAATATGATTAAACAATTGAATAAGTGTCATTATTAGATAAGAGAATATGAAATAATATGAAGTGGATGTTAGACGAATATCATTTCTAAGTTCTTTAAATTTTTAAAATAAAAACGTTCACTTTTTTTAGTTGCAATTTTACAGTATTATTAACCTAAAATAATATTCTCAGCAGGTATAGTAAATGAGACTTTACAATTTTATGTAAAACTGATATTTTTATGTATAAGACCACACACTTTTTCCATAGAATTTAAAAAATAAAAAAGAGGGAGTCAAGAAAAACTCGCTATCAGACTGTATGGGATTTCTACATGTGTGCTTGATGGTTGAGCGGCTGGTAAATTGTTAACCACTGAAAACGTCAGAGTAACATAGCAAGAAATAAAAAAAAATATCGATAAATTATATGTATGTTTTATTTCAAACCGATGCTAATTCAAATGCTGAATCAGAAAGAAGCATGCAGAATGTTAGAAATTCTAATATTGATGTATTTTTAAGTTAAGAAGCAGAATGTATTTAGAATAAAAACCTAAAACAGCAAATTCAACATTAGGATAAAATTGCAAAAATTCAATTTAATTCTTTAACAAATTAGGTAATAGTAAAATAAAGTATATCAACATAAAATACATAAACCAAAATTTAAATGTTTACATAAAAGAATCAACACTTTTAATTTGACTTAATAACAGCAGTTCTATAAAACCTGCTTCCTTAATAGTTCAAAGTAAGCAACGGCATAAGCTAAGCCCTATATAAATTTTAAATATTTGCTCACTTTAGTATTTCATTCGCTACGAATTTAGAGGATTCCTAAAAAAGAATGCTAGGCTTTGACCTAAACTAATTTTGGGAAACATAAATTCAAATGTTCTGAATAAAAAGTAACAAAGAAATAACTATTATTTAGTAATTATAGAATATAAAGTAACAACTACGTGAAACTCATGTTTAAATAGTTGCTCACTTTAGTATTTCATTCGCTACGAATTTAGAGGATTCCTAAAAGAGAATGCTAGGCTTTGACCTAAACTAATTTTGGGAAACATAAATTCAAATGTTCTGAATAAAAGGTAATAATGAATAAAAGAAATAACTATTATTTAGTAATTATAGAATATAAAGTAACAACTACGTGAAACTCCTGTTTAGAGGTGGTATATTGTATAACAAATACTATTAGAAATATTCGCATTAATAAGGGTTACAAAATAGCACACGAAATATTCATTGATTTCTCTCTAAACTTTAAAATCATTTTCGTATTAACGGTATTTTAGACACATGAACATTCTGTTGACATATGTTACACTTATAATTTACATATAAGAGCTGACACTTATAATTTACATATAAGAGCACTCTATGATTTCTGCTGCAAAATTAATCAGGTTAAAAACTAATTTTTTTTTTACGTCGGCTTTAATAACGAAATAGTCAAAAAGATTTGGAGAAGCAAGGAAACTCTTCTGTATCTAGTAATTAATTCAAGCCAAATCTGGAAATGTAACAGCTATTGTTACAGAAAAGTTAACGGTAACTATAGGAATAATAATGGAAATATGTAACATACACTGAAACAATAACTTTTCTATATTATTTGGTGAGATATTTAAATGTCACTAAAGGGGGGGAGGAAGATTAATTCCTCGCTGGTCGTTCCCAAGTATCATACTGAAGAGAAATGATTTATTAGCGCGATGGGATGGACGACATACTTGCTTTCATAAAAGTGCAAATAATCGAGATTTGTAGCAAGCAATAGATTTTTCATAATTACTGAAAGCGTATTAGTGACAATGTTGTTTTTGACGTATTTTCACCTGCATTATTAATGATCTAAAATGAACTCTAAATTAAATACAAGTAGCTCTGACTAATTTTAAAAACATTTTGAAAAGCCTGTTAATTGCGAAAAGATTAAGGCCGCATTTAAAGATATCGTACCGAATGCCGAGATTAAGAATCCCTGCAGAACCAATGAAATACAGGAAAATCCATTCTCTTGATCGGTCACAACGTAAATGATGCAAATCATATCTGACCTGTCAAGTAGCACCAGTGATATTTATACGCAGTACTTTTTACATTTGTTTCTCCTGAGTAATAATGTCAAATAAAAAAAACTTACATGCACTTTTTGAAGACAACGTAATTGGTTTATTGAATAAAATGTTGAAGGAAGTTGTGAATTAAGCAGCTGCGAAAGCCTAATATATATTGTTACGAAATGTCCAGGCGCGGTAAGATAGCTTCTCCGCAAAGAAGTTTTAGGGTTGCCCTAAAATTGCAAGGGAAGGCAGGGTTGCCACATTTGGCGAGAACTCGCCAAATTGGCGACATTCGGCGACAAAATTGGCTATATGTTATGGACGGATGGAGAACTTTCTGGAACGGATTTTTACCGGTTTGGCCCAGAATGTTCTCGAACACAAGTCAAAATCTATATAAACCCTGCTGGTAGGCGCAGAGTCAGAGTGCGAGATAGTTTCGAGTTAGTCAGTCCGTGCGGAGTCGATCGAGCTGACAGCCGGACAGCGAGTGCCGAGTGGGTCGTCGAGTGCATCGAAAGAGTCTCTTAGTGTATCGCGGTTAGTGCATCGTCGAGAGAGTGTGTTAAGCTTCGGAAACGACTGAACCGAAGAGTCGGGAGCTGTGCTCTGTGTGTCGTCGAGTGCATCGCGAGTTGTAGTGTGGAGAGGAGTCTCGAGAGTACGTGGAGTCCCAAGAACGACCGAGTAGAGTCGGGAGCTGTACTCTGGTGCTTTGCAGTGAAGCTGTCTTCACCGTTATTGCCTGACAGTGTGAAGGCTGTGTCGCTGATTGTTCCAGCGTGTTTATGGTAGATCTTCAACCACTGTAAAAGTGACTTTGGAGCTGTCCTGATTAATATTAGCTAAA